GGGTTGCTGTTGCCTCCCCCAGCAAAGGGAGAAGAGGGCCCCAAGAAGGGGGGGCCCCACCACCCTTCGAATAAACATGAAGAGCTCAGACTGCAGCAGCCCCCAGATACAGTGCAGCAGCCAGACAGCCGAAAGTCACCACCACATACACGAACACCCAAACCCAAGCCCCCCCTGGCTATCTCCTCTACGCCGCCACCGCCCACCAAACCCATCACTCAACCAACAGACACCCCAAAGACTGATGAAGAAAGAGAGGTCACCTCAGCGGCTCCCCGCACAGATTCTGATAGAGAAAAGCAGCAGGAAACACAAAAAGAGAAAACTGCTCACAAACAAGACACAGAAACACCTGAAACTCCGCCTAAGACTGACACTGCCACAGCCGCCAAGGCTGGTGGGGGTGCTGGTGGGGATGCGGAGGATGCAGCGGCTGGGGAGAGCAAGAGCAAGGCGACGGAGGGCTCGCCGGAGAAGACGAGCGAGGATGAGGGCAAGGCGAAGGCTCCTGCGGCCAAGCTGCCACTGCCTTCGAAGGCAGCGCCTGGCGCCAAGGGGCCTCCGCCTCCTCCCCCCAAAGCCTTGGGGGCCAAGGCGGTTCCTTCTGTGGCTACTGGGGGTGCTGCTGGGGGTGCTGAGGATGCAGCGGCGGCGGAGAGCAAGAGCAAGGCGACGGAGGGCTCGCCGGAGAAGACGAGCGAGGATGAGGGCAAGGCGAAGGCTCCTGCGGCCAAGCTGCCACTGCCTTCGAAGGCAGCGCCTGGCGCCAAGGGGCCTCCGCCTCCTCCCCCCAAAGCCTTGGGGGCCAAGGCGGTTCCTTCTGTGGCTGCTGGGGGTGCTGAGGATGCAGCGGCTGGGGAGAGCAAGAGCAAGGCGACGGAGGGCTCGCCGGAGAAGACGAGCGAGGATGAGGGCAAGGCGAAGGCTCCTGCGGCCAAGCTGCCACTGCCTTCGAAGGCAGCGCCTGGCGCCAAGGGGCCTCCGCCTCCTCCCCCCAAAGCCTTGGGGGCCAAGGCGGTTCCTTCTGTCGCTGCTGGCGGTGCTGCTGGGGGTGCTGCTGGGGGTGCTGAGGATGCAGCGGCTGGGGAGAGCAAGAGCAAGGCGACGGAGGGCTCGCCGGAGAAGACGAGCGAGGATGAGGGCAAGGCGAAGGCTCCTGCGGCCAAGCTGCCACTGCCTTCGAAGGCAGCGCCTGGCGCCAAGGGGCCTCCGCCTCCTCCCCCCAAAGCCTTGGGGGCCAAGGCGGTTCCTTCTGTCGCTGCTGGCGGTGCCGGTGGGGGTGGTGAGGATGCAGCGGCTGGGGAGAGCAAGAGCAAGGCGACGGAGAGCTCGCCGGAGAAGA